CAATAGGACCTTTGACCCTTGGCTATAACACCTCTCCCCTTTTGACTTCTATTTGCTTCCCATCAGTCATCCCCACACACACACACACACACACACACACACACACACACACAGGTGTAGGTCAAGATCCATTCAGTACTTGCTTGTAAAACCTGCATGATACCTAGATAGGACTCTTTAAATACCATATCACCCAGAACAGTTATGAATAATTGGCCTAAAATAAGGTCCCTGCTACCATTTACCAATAGTTTCTAATGTTGCCATTTAATGTAGGAAAATCCCTTCCAGTAGCCCTTCCAGTAGCCAATATTATCATTACATCCAAGTCACAGAGCAGCTGGTTTCCAGGGGAACCCAAAAGGACGGTCCAACTTTATAATAACCATCCAAATAATGTTAATAGATGCTCTACACATTATTTATGAACCATTTACAGAATATTATAATCTCCAGTTCCAACTTTAAAATAACCATCCAGATAATGATTGTAGATGGTTTATAAACCAATTATTAATCACTGATCAAGTATTAATTATCTATCTATAAATATTTATAGATACTTTACAAAGTATCAGTAAGGGATTATAATCTTCAGTTCCAACTTTATAATAACCATCTTAATAATGTTAAAAGATGCTTTATAAAATATTTACAAACCATGAAAAAATATCTGGTCCATGTGTCTGTAATGTTTATAGATGTTTTATAAACCATCACTTAAAGCTTTATAAATCATTTGGTCATCATTAACAAACACTTCATAAAGTGTATGAAATGTTATAATGTGAACATCAATAAACTGTTAACATAACATAAATTACAGCATTACAAATCATTAGCAAACATTATTCACTATCATTTCATTGTTTGTTAACAGTAAATAACTATTAACTAATGGTTAATCAACTATCTATTTACCCTTATTAAACCTTTATAGATGATGGTTATTATAACGTGTTACCACATAAATACCTAATGTAAGTGCTGTGAGTGCTTTTTGGGTTTGTTCAAAAATCTCTGTAAATGTATTTTACAGAAAAACCTGTGATGACCACTGTGACTTACATGTAATGATAACGCATGAGAATCCCAACCTGGGACCGGGAAAAAGAATTATTGGCTTTAAGAAATCTCTATTTAAGTGGCTTATTTATGTGGCTTTCTGGCCTCAGAACACAGAAAACACAGTTTCCAGTTCTGCCAGGTTAGCTCATTGCTTATCACTGATCCTCCACTGACTGACCTACTCTTCAATCCCAGATATTCAGACAGTCTCAGCTGAGCAGATAAGGCTGGTAAAAGGCTATGAGGCCACTTTAGGCCACACTTCTTCTAATCTTTATTATGTTTGAATTGACTGCACAGTTACACAGTGGAGCATGTATGGGCCCACAGATTTACACCCCCCTGCTCTCCTGTCCACATCTATATTATACCTTAACCCATTTTTTCATTTCTCCCCAGGAACACGTGCCATTTACTGACAAGCCATGTGGGAGTGTAAAACGGAAAATAAGAAAAAGCTACAAGTTGTTGTTTGGCTTCAAAAGCACTTGCTGTGTTAAGCTTTCCCATGAAACAAATGCACTGGACACAAAACATTAAACAGAGAGATAAATGTGAACATGACAACACACACATCCCAGTGTTTTTTTTCTACTACAAAATAGAAAGATCATGAAGAAAGTTATGTGACTTTTGACATAAGCATTAAACCATGTTCAAAAGAAGAATATCTCTATATGAATGAAACCATGTTTTCCACTTCCTACCAGCAGTTCATAGACTATAAACATAATAATTGTAGCAATCTTGAAATTACCAAATGTTTTTACTGCTATTGGGAGCCTCGAGTTTAGCATTTTTGCCACCATGCCCCTTGTTGGTTTTCTTGCGAAAGAAGTGACCCATATTTGCAGAAGAGGTTGATGCTGGAGAGGAGCCAGGGGGTTGGGCAAGTGCCAAGATATTAACATTTAGCTAACGTATTAGCTTGTGAATGAGCTACCTTACCTTTGTGTTTCCTACAGAGTGAGATTCTGTCTGTGGTGGTCGTTGACTACAGCTGTTTATTGATCAGACTCAAGAGGCTAAGACAGTTCAGAGTGTAGCGGACTCATCAAGGCTGGCCGACATGGATCTCTGGTGAAGGAGCAGTGGGTGAATGACAACTTTAATGAACCATTCTTCTTGTCATCACCGTCCCTGTAATCTCTCCAGGGAAAAGTCAGCACCACTCTGACTTGAGTTCACATGGCCAACAAACAAGTAAAGGTTTGATGAATGAGATAATGAGCTGTGGGAGGAGAGTGCAGGATACCGGCTACTAGTGCCAAAATATAAATGAACCAATGCAAGGATTTCAATCACCTGAAAGGATAGTGCATGGGCTTTTGGGATGGCTAGTTAGTGCCATAAACCACACAGAGAGACTTATTATTTGTTGGATTTTTGAATATGTAAAAACTCACCAATAACCCAGATATGGAGGAGTACTATAAAAATTCAGCCCCCAGACAGTTGTCATGAAAAGATAAATGAGCTATCAGGACCAACACTGTTGTATGAAACAGGTTGTAAATGTGTTTACTTCTTCTTCTGCAGATTGAGTATTTTTAATATGGGGACTGGGGCCAACCTCAAGTGGAAAGTCTCTTCCTAGTTTGCTTCTTTTTTTCAGTCCTGGAGATTGGTGCTTGCATCAAATCTTTCAGTATTCTACCCTTCCAAACCAATTACTATAATTTCTCCCCTTTTTTTCCACAGATCCCAACACCACCCACCCCTCCTCATTTGTCATCCGTCCTGATAATAATACGTTGTCAAAGCAGGGGGATGTAGCCTGTAATAAGAGGTATTAACCTAGAGGCGAACAGCTATCATCATGGTTTGGAGGTTTTAGAGAGAGCATGTACAAGATGACAAAGGAAGAAAAGAGACGAAGACCCACCGGGGGGGGGGGGGGGGGGTTTCTTCCGTTCAATAGGAATCTGACTCACACAACATCTGTACACAGGATTTAGAGGATTTGTGAGGCCTTGAAGAGTTACTTGAAGTGTTGAGTGTAATAGGAAGGATTAGACTGTTGCTTTAGACTGCCTCAAACAGAAAACCACTAAACATTTATTCCAGTTAGAATTTAAGTGTGGAATGACTGGACCTTCTGTATAGATCAGTTTGTCTTTCAATCTCATTAGGCTGCAACCCATCCCCACTTCAGTCAGCTTGTTTTGAAAATACCACATATTCCATACTGATAACCTCAAACCCACATTTTATCGAATGTTTGAATCTTGCAAAAATCAAATGTGCGAAGACACACAGACACCCACACACACGCACGCACGCACGCATGCACGCACGAACGCACGCACGTGCACACACACACGCACACACACACACACACACACACGCACACACACACACACACACACACACACACACACATTGCCACGCACCCCACACAAAGTGCAGTGAAGCAGCAGGAGAAACATCGACCCTCCCCACTCGGTTAATCATTTCCTCTTCCCCAAACTCCTCATCTCTCTTTTAGGAGGCACCTGCATTCATACTACCTTTCTACACTGTATTTGCACAGATACACACACACACACACACACAAAAACTCAAGTCAGAGTAAAATGTTCATAAACGCAGGGGGGTGTAAAAAATAGGATTCATCATTAACCTGAATGGAGCTTAATTGCACATCAGTGTGGCATGTTTTCGCAATCGCCTCATTGCTACAGGCTGAAACATAAAACCCACTTTTCTCTCCTATTTTACCTCCAGATTGGTGCCCCAGCCATCGCACCATTTTCCACACTTCACAAACAAGCAAACAGTTGTTCATTCAGAATTTTTAAACACACTCATTTCTTCCCCGGGTCTATTTTTTTTCTTTTTCTCTGAGCTGGGAGAAGTGGCAGCGAGCTTCTGCTCTGAACGTCAGAAAGCGCATCAATAATGCAAACACAGCTTGTTATAGCTCAAACTCACTCTGCTCCAATGGCTCACCAACCTAAAACCCAACATCAAAGAGCAGAAAGATGTTTCTGTGTGTGTGTGTGTGTGTGTGTGTGTGTGTGTGTGTGTGTGTGTGTGTGTGTGTGTGTGTGTGTGTGCATGCCAGCACTCACGGTATGTCTGAGAGGCAGAGGCGTTGAAAGCACTGACTTTAGAACCTCTCCTAATGGGAAGGGGAGTGATTGATTATTGTCAATGAAACGAGCGCTACAGGGAGATTAATTTAGTGAAAGCAGTTTATTTGTGTGAGAAGCAAGTAAAACTTCTCTCTGAATAATGACAAAAAAACACTTCTAATATCGAGGTCAAGGACAGGAGCTTTGTGTGAATGGGATGTGGACCTTTGAATCTTTAACAACCAGCGCTTTAAAGAATGCAGGAGAGGAGAGTGAGAGGCTTTTCTGTGCTATGTCAGCGAACAGGTTACAAAGTAGGCTGTGTGCTCAATATGCTGTATAATCATCAATGACACATACTTTACAAATACATAGAACATTAATGTCTTCTTTGTGATAAGAACTCATGGCCAGTGGTGCTCATAGGTTTTTTTTTCTCTTGGATCTCTGTCAACTCTAGATGTTTAACGTCGAAATACATTAATTATTGTCAAATGTGACGTTTCGCTCTTGATTAGGAAAAGAAGAAAACTGCTTCAGAAAGAGTTAATTATAGACACAAATTACACATTATGCACACAAATCAGTAAAATTATTTTAAAAAGGGGTCTTGCAAAAAAAATACTCAAGAAACTATTCGTTATAAAAACGAATCTGTCACCCTGCAGATGTAGCCTCGTCTACCTGTTACAATAAGTAAGGATAAGTTTCTCCATTTATTTTGGATCACCCTCAGTGAGCAGTGCTAACTCCATCACACAGAAAGGGTGGGGCCCCGTTACAACTTTTCCCACCACGCAGTCTCCTCGCGGATAACTTTCCCGGTCATCAGCTCTGCGGCACGTTTCCACTCACCTGCACGACACGGTGATTTCCACTTTGGTGGCGGGGATGTTTCCGGTGATCGGGTCGAAGTCGTACACCGATGACATGTCTTCGAGCTTGTCCACAACGTCTCCCTCCATGAGCTCCATCGTCAGGTCTTGGAGTGGCTCGGGTCTGATCCGGGAGCCGCACAGCCTGGTCCTGACAGAGCGCGCCGAATCTCCGGGGACTCGAGAGACCAGATCGGAGACCAGACGGCCTCCGGGGTGACCGGGAGAGGAAGCCACTTCACAGATGTTGAAGCTGGAGAGGAGGGGGGAGCACTGTCCAATTGTCCATTCAACGTAATTTTTTTTTTTTTTTTTAAAGGATAAGATAAAAACAAAAACCAGGACAGGATGTGAGAGGACTGTTGCGCGTCACATGGATAGGCTGACTCCTCTCCGCGCTTTGTCTTCAGTCTGAGCGCACAGCAGAGCGTGTGAAGAGAAGAGGCTGGATACTCTCTAACACACCCATCCTCCTCCCACACAGAATCACTCTCAAGTGCTGAAACACCCTGTCCGTGCACCGCTGCTGCAGCTGCTTCTGCTGTCAGTCTGCAACAGCCTCTACGCTTAAAACTGCCATTGTGCGCTCTAGTCAAGTGGTCATTTAATAACACACTGATGCTGCTTTATATTTGAGACTTTATATTACATTCAGTCGAATAATGAAGCATGAAATCGTTTCAACAATTTACTTAAAGCTATCAAAGTGCACTTTTGTCTGAAGGTGTCCTAAAGTCGGTCATCTAGATCCCACCAGTGGTTCAAAGGATACATAAAGGGTTCAAGAAACATGTTGGGGGGGAATCATATTGTTTCAGTTGTATATTTCAGATTTTCCTTAAGTTCTATCATTTTAAAGTGTTATTCTTTAGGATTTAGACTTTTCATCACTGCCCCCTGAATGTTAAATAACAGCCTGTCAGCAGTTATCACTTAAACTTCTGTCACCTTACTCTTTGAAATTCCCCTGTTAAAAAAATCGGTAAACAACTGGCAGTAGGGTAGCCAGGAAGTTCCTGTAAAATTAACGGTATATTGCTGTTGCTGAAATTTATAGTTTTCTACCATTTTTGTAAATACAGCAAAAAGCTGTTATTTTAAATGTTAACAGGAAAATACTGTTGAAAGGATTAACTGTTTAATATTGGTTTATTTACACTTCTTCACGAGAGGTATATTTGCAGATTTTTACTGTGAATTGTAAATACTACACCTAGCTATAGATTAATTTCCTTCTATCAGAATGGACACAATATATTTATTTTCTAGTGATTTGATAAATTAATCCTTGCATGTCAGATTATAAAACACCAAGTTTTAAAATAATAAATACAAATTACCTTCAAAATTGCAACTTAAAATGTTAAGACAAATAATAAAACTTCAAAGTTTCTTCTCAAACCACATCTGTCTTTATTGAAACTGTAACAAAAACAAAGAAAATGCACATTAAGAACATGAAGGTTAAATAGGCAAAAAATCTTGCACAAATATTTACATTAAGAAGTTTAGCAAAGGTAATTTCCAATGTATAAAAAGTGCATAAAAGAGTTTTGGTAGATACATTTTAAACAGAGACGTGAAAAAAAAAATTTGTTATCGTTTCATAACTGAATAAAACACCTGTCCTCTGAGGGAAACTGGGTTATTGGACCTGCACCTCCCTCTGATTTCTCCTTCCAGACTGAAACTGCCACAAGGATTCTATAAAGGGAAAAAATAACATTAGAACAAAAGCAGCTCCAGCTGAACAGTGAACATTATCATATGGACAATCCTTTCTGAATATTCTCCATATACAAAGAAGTAAAGTAAAAGTATGAAGTAGAGCTAGTATGAATAAAAATAAGTCCTGGAATTACTTTAAGTACATTAATTCAGGATGTATGGCAGAAGCTTTATGTGTTAATATTATTAGCTAATCATTATTTCTAAGTCAATATTTAATCAATAGTCAGTGTCAGTTGAAGCTGAAACAAAGAAAAAGGGACTGTTGATGTTAGCTAAACTTACCATTACCGCCAGGCAAGCAAGTCAAGTTCATTATAGCCCACTTAGTTAACCACATTACAAGAAAATGTTTTTGTTTTTTTGTCCCATTTAGCAACTGTTAAGATCTGTATTTCAAGCTAATGTTAGCTGGCAAAGAATTCACTCACTTCGTGTGTGTCTGCCTGCAGTGTTTCTGTGTCATTTCCAAATCTCGCTAACGTTATGCTTACAAATGACTTCAATCTTAGTAAGTGATGGGTTTTCCCAATTCTAAATAGCAAAGCAGTAAGGCACTCACCTTAATTGTCAGGATGGAGATGGATGACAATCTGACAAAGCCAACTCCATTGTCCTTTCAACCATGTGGTCTCAACTTCTTTTTCCCAAAATGCATTGCAAAAACTACGGTAAATTACCGCTTTGTTTTCTTCAAGCAATAATACAGTGAAATATTGTTATAAACCGTTTTAATACAGTGATGTCCTATATTTAAACATAACAGGATCATACTGTTGACATTTTGTTAGTACGGATTTTCATGAAATTCATTCATCTTGGTAACTTTGTGAAATGTATTATTCAAGTCTGTCTACCACGTGTTAACAGTCCTACCTTTAGGTGTCTGAAGCTGTAACCTCATATGGGTGAAGCACCTAAGTAGTAGCAGATCTATGTTTGGATAGGAGCCAACTATATGTTGACAGCAACTGTTTGCTAGACAGAGAGTCTACATCTGATACGTATACAAATCAGTGTCATGTCATCTTTATTGTTTTATGGTGATGCACCCAAATAGAAAGGAATTTGTGGGTTGCAACTTTTTGACAGAATATAAGCAGCACTGTGAACACTGTTACTTTGTCAGCACTTTGTCAGTCAAGTGATTTGGAAGCGTGCTTGTTTGATGAAGTTGTCTGACCTCGGCCGATTAAATGGTGTTATAATCTCCAGTCTGTTTCACGATTTCTTCATTGGATTTATATAAAAAGAAACAACCCCCACCTAACACATTTCCTTCTAAATTTACAGCAATTTCTTAGAGTGAAGGACTCTCCAGTGGGAAGAACTTCGTAGCTGTGCAAAAGCAGGATTTATCTCTTTGCTGATCTCGTTCTGTATATCTAAAATTAAGTTTTCTATTAAAAATGTCCTCCTTTTTTATTTATTTATGTCTAATGTACAACAGACAATTAAACTTTAGCATGGAAACAAAGAGGCTGTATTACATCGCCTCATATACCCTGTGGCAGGTTAACAGACATAAATAACTATTTACATATAATCAACCTTCTCTCTGATTGTCTGGTTTGCTCTTGTGTATGAAAAGGGCATATCAATACTAGTTTCAGTTAGTTTCATTATCAGCTCTTAAGTCCTCACAGGAGCTTTAAGTTACAAAGCAGAAGAGCAGCCTTGGAAGAGGGGATTTCAGCACCACATCCATGGACAGCTCCCACAAGATAGCAGTGAAAATTCAGTCTGGAAAAAAGCAAAAACCAAATCGTTCAACTTGGAGAGTTGGAGATTAAAGTTCCCATTCTGCCATTTTTCTGTGTTGGAGAGGGCATGATTTTTTAAGAATTGTGAGTTAGCAATTAAAACGTGTTCAAGCAGGCTGATATAAAATCAATATTAATTATAGAGGAGGGAATAGCATGGAGATTTAATGGCTGCCATCCATCATTAGCCTGTTGTGTGCGGCTAAAACCGGCTCTGTAAACCATGTTGTAATAAATATGCTAAACTGGTGTTGCCCCCTGCCAAGAAAATGATGGCTTTGTCATTTTTTGGATAACTGCAGTCCCTAAATACAAGCTCTGTGTGTGTTGCTTTTCTGTTTATTTCACTTGTTTGACACTCTACATCTCTCTCTGTCTTTTTTTTTTCTTTACAAACGGCCTAACACTTATACAGTATATGGCTAAAAATATCAAAAGTGATGAATAATCAACTAAAAACTGTTCCTCACAGATTGTCGGTTGCATCAAGGGAAAAAAAACTATTTGAACTAACTTAGAAAACAGTTATAAAAATGTTTTGTGGTAGCAATGGAAACATAGGTGTTTTAATTCCTGTTACGTTGTACCTGCCCTGTCCCTATCTCTTTACTTCTTTCACAATCTAACTTGTACATCAGACACACACAGGGACATACACAGCTATAAACCCTTTCATAAATGTGTGCAGCAGCAAACAGCCCTTTCCTGTATAGAAGCGCCTCGCATCTGGATTCTGGAAATCAATTTATACCGGCACAAGACGCTTCTGCCCACACAGCCCTGCAGCTAAGGATCAGGAACACACACACGCACACGCACACGCACACGCACACGCACACGCACACGCACACGCACACGCACACACACACACACAGGAATACATATCATTACTTCACACACCACTGTACTCATCTAAAAAACAAATCAGTTTCTCATATGTCACTGAACGACCCATAAACAGAGATAAAGAGGCACACTCTCTGCAAATGCACCCTTTTCTCTTCAGGATGAGATTCATGTCTTTTAGGTTGTTGTTTTTTGTGTGATGTGGGTGAGACTTTTATTGCAGATGTTCTGAAGAGGGGGGTTGATACAGCCTTCACAACAGCTAGTTTGCCTAGAGAAGTAACCTGGGAATTCCCACAACCTGGGAATCCAGATCAAATGAATTCATATTCAATCATTATTCACTTGTTATGGTTTTTTAGCTCTGTAGCAAACAGCAATCCAATCAATAGCGGACAATTTCCAATTAACACAGAGAAATTCATTCCAATTAACACAATAAAGGTCGCATGTTATGCAAATTACACTTCACCACGTTTTAATTATGTGTCCCTAGCCTCTCTACAAACCCCCCAATTAAGAGAAAAGTCCATCCTCATAAAATATTTACACAGGTGGTAGTAACCCCTCCCCCAGGCGGGTGACACTCCCACAGCTAGGTGTTTGTTCTGCCCTCTGACTCTACCTTCTCTCTGTAAACGTTGGGCATGGTGCAAGAAAGCCCGAGCCACCCGAGTCCTTCCGGAGGGGCGTGGTTGAACACAGCTCACTTGCATTTAAACCTATTTAAATCGTTCAGTCACATGACCAGTGTGGCTGGCTAGGTGGAAAAAAAGAGTTTGGGAGACATTTGCAGTCTGAGACTAATAACTTCTCTGTAGTGTACAGTCGTAGGGAGCCTTTCTTGCCCCGCCAGTGGGCGGTACCATAGGCGTGTGATGTCACATAAAAGCTATGAATAGACACTGAAGCAGCATGTTCAGAGCAGGGCTAAAACAGAGGGGTTTATAGGTATGTTAAAATGTTAAAATAAAGAATCGGATTCGAGCTTTAGCAAGAAACTTCACAGACATGTTTTGGGGAGCTCGGAGAGTTATTTCAACTTGTTGAAAAAGAGTTTAATATGTGACCTTTAAAACTTGTGGCGTTGATTGTTAGGAATAACATAAAAAATATCCACATTATAAACCAGTCTGGCAGCATAGAACAGCGTTTTTTTTAATTGCCAAGAGACTACACCATATTTATCTGTAAGACTAAGAGCAATTAACAGAACCACAAGAAAGGGTTTTTATATCTTTAAGTTAATTAGTCGCAGTAATTGCAGCAACAAGTCCCTGTGAAAAATAAAAATATCCAGCCTATTTCTGAACGTCTTAAGACGCAAACACTGCATATTTCCTTTTGAAAGCTACTTGCCATCCAGTTGCAGAGAACCAGCAGGTGGCCACTGCTTTTGTGCTGGTCACATTAATTACACCATGAATGTCCCCTTATGTCCTCCTTTGTCCTCCTCCCTCAACTCCCTGCAGTTTTTCTGAGCACTAATTACTGTGTTTATTCTCACTTGCGTCATGCTGTCCAAAAATATCGCCTTTCTGGAAGCAATTATGCAAAAAAAGAGACAAATGCCCTGAAAGACAAGAGAAGCTCCTCAAAAAAATAAGACATTAATTTACTCCTCCAATCCCATATGTCACTTGTCTTCACTTTCCAGAAAAAAGAAAAAAAATCCACTAATTAATACATCTATGATGGAAAAGACCTTTATCTAAACACATGACATGGTCAGAAAATACCAGTTTGTCAGGGGGATTGTGGGTATTTTACCAAGCTTGTGATGTTGCTTATAAATAGTAAAAAGTCTCCCTATTCACATTTGACACTTAACTCTGTCTTTATCAAACCTTGTATTTGGCTTCTGGTTATGACGGGTAGCTGCAGTTGTTAGCAGTACAGTTTTCTCTCAGCTTGGAGAGGTCTTTTTGTGAAT